TTGCAAATGTTTTATATGTGGACGAACCACAGGCACTTGTCTCTGAAATGTTTTTTTTTTTTCATATATACCTAAATATATTAAAGTATATAGGTAATTTTTTCAGAGACAAGTGCCTGTGGGACGAACCAAATACAGAAGAAAAAACCTATCATAAGAAAAATCTACATAAAAATCAATGTTCTGATCAATCCAAAATCGGTAACTTTTTTTGACTTATACATTTACAATGTAGGCTGATATCACGTTTTCAATATCGTTTATCTCTCCCTGTATTGTTTCTCTACTTTGCATAAAATATAAGGAAGCATTATATGATTTTCCGCAAATTGGTTGTATCTGATTACCGAAAGAATATGGGCAGAATAAAGAAAATTAATTCAGTATCATTTTAAAATGAGTCAAGTGATTTTTCAACATACGATTTTATAAAAAATGAAAACAACCATTATAAAATTCATGCGTTCGAAGCGCTTTTCTGGATATACCTTCATCAGGAACGCTCAAAGCCAAATATTTGAAAACCAAAAATGTATAATAACCTAAACAATTGAAGAGCTATATGACCAAAAAGGACCTAAAAAATAGCCAAATCTATCTAAAGTCAACTTTGCATGAGGGAGTTGAAACCTTAATTTCTGATAATTTCAAAATTTATTAACGGACAATTTTATAACAAACAAAATGAGTTTTCTATGAAACTTACCTGATCAATCAGGCAGATTGTTGCATCTGATAAGGAATCGGATACACGGTGATTGATAAAAAGTCTACTTTGTATTTGCGTCGTTTTAAGGAGATATAAGGCAGGTGTTACCTGTGAAAAAAGACGAAGTCCATATAAATAATTATTTAAATACTATTTTTTTCAAAATTAAAAGTAGAAAGACAAGGAAATGTTTAGATTATAGAAATTTTGAATAGCTTTGAGACACAATTCAAAACTGCAGGCGTTTCCAGTCAAACGTGTTTTCAAACTAACGATCGAGTTCATTTTAATCCGTATTGATAACTTGGTACCCACCTATCTGAATTGTACAATTATCACTTGGTCTACCAATAAGGAAAACCACTTCTACTGTCGTACCAGCTGTACAGCTTGACTAACATACCCAAATAATTCATCAATAACTGCATGTTTTGTTAAGTTTGATTAATATACAACTTTTTTTTGGTGTCATTATGTCAGCGATTTTTTTTTCAGATCTCAATTGTATTGTTTTATTCTCGGCTTTACCAATCAATAGCGATCGTATTCGTATTTGAGGGATTTTAAAAAGATGACAAGATTTTTACACCCCTTTTGTATGTTGGCTGGATGCGGCCATTTCGTGTATAAAAATAATGCTTTTATTTTTTTCATTTAGCGATACCACGAAAAGCAGGACCGGTTTTCATTCTACATTTCTAGTTTTCGCTTTTTTCAAGTTTTTACTTTTTTGCTTTGTTGGTTTGAAAATTAGACGAGAAATACATCATCCCAAAATCAGGAACACAACAATATTTGAGCATATATTCCAGAAACCACCCTCCTCATATTTGTGGATGGAACTCTACTAAATATAAACATATGCTCTTAAATGTATTTTAACTAAACTTTTCAAAGATTTCATTTGCTGTTTTATTTTAAAAATGAAACTTAACTTGAATATTAGAAAACATCAATGTGAGCTAAAACGAATAGTAGGGCTTTACAAGTTTATGCTAAAATGTATGCCAATAAACTACTGTTTAAAAAACCAGCCTTTGTTTATACATTCTAATTTACTTTACAAACATCTTGTTATACCTGTACTAGACTTAACTGAAAATTACATCTACAAATAAAGCTTTTCTATAAATAAGATATAATTATGATTGAATTTTGCAAATCTATTCTTATGTCTGTCTAAAGCATAAAGGTTTTATGTATTCATTTTATCTATTAGAAACTTGCTGACGTATTGAGAAATCAGAACGAAAATAAAAATGAGATCATGAATGCATTGGAAAACCAGTTCGGTTAGTATCTTTATGAAACATGTACAATTAAAGGTAATAATATGAACAGCTTGATCAGAATCCCATCGATAAACGACATTCTGTGGAATTTGCTTGGTGGTAATTGTATGTTTTTAAAATTTACAAATTTGGGGAATCAAATTTTATACTGTTTTGTGTGTTAAAGTTCACACCTGTGTTTTTCCATGTTTAAAAGAGAGGCGAAAGTGTTACCAATGGGACATTCAAAATCATAAGTCTAAAACAAACTGACAACGCGATGACAAAAAACGAAGAAACGACCAAAAAACAAACAACAATATTCAACAAACAACATAGAAAACTAAGCACTGAGTAACACTAACCCCACCAACCGTTTGAGGAAACGGCAAGTATAAATATCTTTTGAACCGAAACAAAATTTCCAACTTTTTAATTGGAGTTTTGCACGGTATCTAAATGCCATTTAAAATTTTCAATTTTTTATTTAAACAAAGTTTGGAGACTTATTGGTTTTGCTCAGTTTTCCTTTCTTTTCAATTTGAACTTGTCCGCAGCAGTTCTTAAAAAAAAAGCTTGTCATAATTACTTAGGGTTCAACAATATGTTAGACTTACATGTCTAATGGTGCCATCAGGGTTTAAAATATTTTATTTGCCAATGATTATAACCTGAGAACAGTTAGTGATAGCTATATATATATATATATATAGACAAATGGGGTCTTCAGGAATGACCATGGGAACATATGGCCTACTTCAGGTCAAAAGGTCAATAGTCAATTTTTACAGTTTTAAAAAAAAAGAAGGAAATTCTATTGAATTGAATGAATAAAAAAATATTGAAAACAACACGTTTAATAATTTCTTGCGTCCGAAGCGCTTTTCTGGATTTACCTTCATCAGGAACGCTCAATATCAAACATTTGAAATCCGAAGATGTATAAGTACCGAAACTCAAAAATACATAAAATAAATAGCCAAATTCATCTAAAGTCAACTTTGCCTGAGGGAGTTGAAACCTTAGTTTCTTAATAATTAATAACCCTGAATAATAAAAGGGAGAGTTCTTATGGGTTAATAATTATGGGGAATTTGTTTGGGAGACTCCGTAATAGCATCCTTTTACAATCATTTCTTGTTCATTCAGATTTAAACTATATGCATAGAGAAATAAACAGAAGATGCATATCTTAAATATCTGTATGTTAATCTTATTTATATGCAGGATCAGTAAGTATGTCTGACGTTAATTTTTTCTCGTCATTGTAAGGAAAAAAACTCATCAAAGATACCAGGCTTATAATTTTGTCAGACGATCGTTTTGTCTACATAAGACTCATCAGTGACGCTCGAAACAATTAAAAGGCGGAAATAAAAATAGTATAACAATGGAATTATTGTGATATGATTGTTGGAAGTATATTAGTTTTAAAAATTCCTTTATAAAAATGCTGTTTTGATATATTTTACAACTTGTTTGTAAATAAAGGCAACAGTAGTATACCGGTGTTCAAAAGTCATAAATCGATTGAGAGAAAACAAATCCGGGTTACAAACAAAACCGAGGGAAACACATCAACAATAAGAGGAAAACAAAGGAACAACAGGAACACCGAAGTGCAAAAAAAAAAAAAACGCCAACACACATAGAAACGAAATATTTTATAACTGTAAGACAGAAATACATGCATCTATTTTACAAACTTCAGAAAAACTGTCAATTGACATCCGAAATCTGACTTTTGAAGTGCAGATTAAAAGAAAGTCAATATCACCAGCTTCAACTCAGTTGACTGTAGAATGCACAGCAGGCGCAGGTAAATAAATCAACCAATCGGTTTCTATCATTATTATATTTAATTTTTAACGTTGTAAGGGACAAACATACTATTTCTTCAAATACGTTTTACTAAGTAATAACATTGGCGAAATCTATGTTTTTGTATATTGATTGTGTAGGATATCTCTAGAAATTGGCATAACTAAGTAAAGAAAAAATACTTTTTTGTACTCTTTTAATGTATTGATATCGGATCCCTTCAATATCTATAGCAAATGTGTTAAAGTATTTTCTGTTCATTTAGGTCTTTCCTTTTACCACAGAAAAGAACTAACTGTATTTTTACGATTATTTTTACTATTTTCATTTTTAACATAATTATTTTCCGCCACATCTCGAAACCTCTTCAAGAATATAGTATGTTACATACAAAAATGATCTTCGTTATTTAGTATTGCGCAGATATCAACTATTGGAAAGAGGTATATCATCTAATGTCGGAAACCTTTGTAACGTGTTAAACAGATAAACCATAACAGTTATAGGAAAACCGAAATTGGTTATGGCCTTTGGGTTAAAGCGGAATTCATTACATTTTAACGAAATTAATTATCATATGGGAGATAACTTCAAACCTCGAAACCGTAGAAGTCAATGAGATCTTAGGTCCTTCATATTGATCTTATTGGCACGAGATCATTATAAATTTCAAAGTGAAAGATCATTGTGACCTTTCCACCTTATAATTTTATCGAATGAAATCGGAAATCGTAACAGTCATGATGACCTTACCTTGTAAGAACTTTTGATAAGAATAGAAACACACATAGTAAATGGTTAAGAATGTATGAGATATCAAGCTGTAAGTTAATCAGGATAAGAAATAAAAGCTACAAACAAAACAATTCCAATGAAAGGTCCAGAAAAGTCGTAAGTGGCCAAAGCTATATTAAAATGAGTTATAGGGATCTATTGTCAAATTTATTGGACTGCTTGACGTTTAACATAAACAAAGTTAAATAAAACTAAGGTCAATTACACCTCCGAAAAAAACCAATACTACCTTTTATCTTCAGAAGTGTAATCATCTTTTGAGATTCAGAAGGAAAAAGGCTATCAATGAGAACAGCTTGCAATGAAAAAGGGCGTTTTTTGTATTGTTTTGACAAAGTAGCTCCTCTGTTCAAATCTGTTCAAATCACCTTTTAATTTAAAGTTTTCTTTTATATTATTTTAAGTTGGAGCTGGAAAAGAAGATGATTCCTTTGCAGATGTCACAGGTAGAAGTAAAGTATCTTAGTTATGTCAACTAATGTTTCAACATTGCTTTCGTTTGCACGGATTTGAACCACAGTCTTGTTTGTCATTTGCTTCTAAGAACTTGGATTTTTTTTAACCTTTGTTCAAAAAGTAAAATGATAGGTTCAGAGGATTTTTCAATAGCAATGATTTGTGTGTTTTTGGTGATGTTTAAGTTTATAAAAAAGACCTTCAATCATCTCCAATCGCATGACACATAGTTACTGGATTTGACTAATCAATTTTTTATAAGAATAACATGACGGTGTCTCTGTTGGAGATGAAAATGCCGACGATTCAGAGCGCCCGACTTAAAACAATTTTGTTCATTTCGTGTTGCTCAACCAAAGGATTCGCCACAGTGTTCTTTGGAATTTGTTTTGGTCGTCATTTTATTTTTGGTCATGGTGTTTTTCTTTAACTTATGCCCACTTGGTATCCTCCCTTTTTGTAAAATATTTGTCTTGGTGTCACATGAATATATTATTTTAATGCGAGAACGACGGATTTATATATCATTTATTGCAAATTAAGCGAGATATTATACCAACATTTGTTTTAAAAGTTTAAAACAGTTAACAACTATTACCGAGCTGGGTAAGGTTTTGGTCACTTGTTCTAGTCATTTCATCAGTTGAAGTTTAATGTTTTTCGGTTTTCCAGAATTCAACCTTGATACCAGTATTTTTTGCACTGGCCGAAAATAAATAAAAGGTTTGCTTTTGGAATGATCACCACCGATGAACTTATTCTTAGGGGAAGACTAGTACATACTGTTATCAAATGAATTTCTGTAGCAGAAAGAAAACAGGTAATTCAGAGACGAATACCAAAAACGTATATTGTTTTGACTGTGCTGAATGTATTTATAAATTATCTTGAAATAGATTTTAGGAAACTCAGTTCATTTACTTTTCAAAAACGCTTACTTCACGGTATGGGCTTTGCACGTTGTTGGAGGCCTAACGATGACATATTTGATAAAATCCAATAACTGCACAATGTCAGGTAACGTTGAAATTTTTTCACTTTACTTTCAGGTTCAACAACAAAGTGTTATGTTCTATGGAAATTCGCCAATCCTGGAAGCTGGGATATGGAAAAAGTAGTTCATACACTTAGATCAGTATCTGTCCTGTTGAAGGAATGGTTTGAAATTGAATTTGTGTACGTAGGATCATTGGTGATTGAAACAACAATACTGGAATCTGTTGTTGCTGATAAAAATACATTTATCACTGCCATCAGATCATTTATATCAACAATTGTTGACGTTTGTGATTTAAATTCTCCTTCAAGACAAATCATTGATGTACTTCTTGATGTACAACATATTCCACATGGTATGTTTCTAAAGATTTTGAGGCGGCTGATGTACGAGTGTGAGTGGGCATTCTTTTTATATCATCAAATTATAAAATGAAAACACGTTATAAATTTCTTGCTTCCAAAACGCTTTTCTGGATTTACCTTCACCAGGACCGCCCAACGCCGAATATTTGAAAGCCAAGGATGTATAAGAACCGAAACAGTTATGTCGACCAACGTTTAAGTGATTTCGAACAATCTTTCATATGTCAGAAGTTAATACTGTTTTACTTGTAGCTGTGTTTTTGTGCTCAGTCATTTGATTAATTACTTTAATGGATTGATGTTTTGAGGGCTTTTTTCTTTGTATCGTACATATGCTACACATCGAAATGTAGGCGGTAAAAATGAGGATTCATTAAAAAGAACAACCCCGACAATTGTTTTGCAGACTGTCCAGGAACCTCGTTTTATTCGTTTTTGTCTCATTTATGTGTACATGTGCTACACATCTCTTTCACAACTTGTCTGGATTCCGGATGATTTAAAGCTTGCGTGCTGTAAATAGTATGCACGTACTATTTATACTGATGCAGGCCATATTGTAACATCTAAAATCTTTTTTTTAACTTGTGCATTGCTGTCACAATGACGTTATGGCGAAGAAAAAAGACATTGGTTAGTGGTGGAATCTGATAATAATGATACTGTAACCACTTGTGTTGACAAAAATCCTCGATAAGTTTGTTGAATGCATTTTAACGTAAATGTCTTTTTGTCATTTCTATGCTTATAAAGTTATTTCACAAGTGATAAATCGTCATTTATACACAATAATAAGTGATATCAAGATCTAGGGATAATAACAGGGAAAATATAAAAAAGACATGTATTAATCTATAATTATCGTATTTGTTTTCAGCCGTTAAAACATCGACGGATAATTGTTCAGAATGTTTAAAAAAGGAAGAAAAAATGAATGAAATGATGAAACAGAACCAATGTTTGTTGACTTGTAAGTTAAAACCTTGCTATGTATTTCTAAGTAATTTTATTTTTATTTTAACGGGGGTAGACCTGAAGTCAGGGAAATTAAGAGATAACTGTATTGTTTTGTAGTTTGGCCTACTTAGAACGTGGGTTTTACTGACGCAAATATCCGTTTACCAGCTCCGCTACGCGTCGCTAGTTATAATCAAATTGCGACAGTAATGCTCACGTTTTACGTAGGCCAAGCTCAAATACAATACGGTTACTCTATTCTTATGCAAAAGAAACAAATCAGTTCATTTCAGCCATTATTACAAATTTTATAAAACGAAAATACCGCGAAATGATGTTATCTTCTTTAGCAACTAAACAAGGTAACGTCACATGTATGCTTCAGGCGTCAAATGTAAACACCGGGCGTTGTCAGGCTTCAGAATGTGATAGAATTAGATAAAAGGAACATTATAAGGTGAAACATGTGAGTCTATATTTATTATTGAAGACATAACATGTCAATACATTCCAGAATTCACAATGTTGGCTTCCCTTAGTTACAGACAGGTAGATAGAAAATTTTACGCTTGTCATCCAATCAGAACCATTGATACAAAAATATTGCATTCGAAAAAATCTTATACATAGTTTGAATTAGTGTGTACTAGTAAGTTATTCAATCTGTAATTGGGCATCACTATTACACATATTGAATAGATTGATTAGCGAGTACGGCACAACAACACCAGAGAAAATAGGACAAGTTTGCGTCTATCAAACACCAATTGAAGATAAACGGAAGTACATTTAAAAGACGTCAGAGAAACAACACATCCACTGATATTTTGTCATATTCCTTTTACACTTACTGGATATTACATTGCAATCATATGATTGTCGACGTATTTAGTTCATCTGGTTGATTTTTATCCCTGTTGTCTGTTTTATTCCTGCACTTTGAAACAGTAACTGCAAATCGGTATACTATATTTATACTCAGAGACATGTCATTACTCGATGTGTATACAATAATGTCGCTAAATAAACAATATATACGAACTGTTTTGATCTGATGAAGGCTGGGTTTTTTTAATTTTTTTACCGTAATTAAAAATCCAGTAACTATGAAAATGATGAATACTAAGATAGCTTTTTCTTAGTTACAGTGGCTATATCCTTTTGTTTCTTTATATTATTGTTTCATATATATTAATCTTGCCAATGTAAGAGTAACTTAATTCATAACAGTAATCGGGAATTCGACGCTCTTTTCGTATGAATTCACTGGTGTAATATTTGTTTTCCTTCAATTCAATTGACTCAAACAGATGAGATGATAAGTAAAGTCACAGTTAGTGCGAAAATGTTTTAAATTATTCGCATTTATTTTCAGTAACAGCAAGTTTGAATTACCCATCTTTGAAGTAAGTATGTTAAAACTTAGGAGACTGCTGCTTTCCTTTAGTTTTTACCTTGTCCTTCCGTCTGTCCGTCCACAATGTTTGTAAATCCAATAACTTCAAAAGTATTGGTGGTACGCCAATAACATTTTGCCATTTGTTGTACATAATATGTAGATGCCCATATAAATTTGTTATGAAAATTGTCCTATCGATTTTGGAAAAAATTGTATTTGTTTTAAAAGCACAAATTTTCAGAAATTGTTTTTGTAAACGCAAAAGTCAATCGTAAAGTAAGAGACCACCGAAGTTTTGCACCGTTGTGCATAGAATGTAAATGTAAATATTCCATTTTTGTGCAAACTGCAAAAATTGAATTTTATTCAATAATAACAAATTGTGAGAAATAGTTTTTGTAAAAGCTGAAACTGTAAAAGTATGTTTAGTACTACAATAAAATATTGGACAGTGTTGTGCATAATATGTTAATTTGAATATTATTGCTTGTAATTAATAGGCCAATGAAGTTTTTGAAAAAGACTTAGTTTGTGTTTAAAAATCAAAAATTTAAAACATAGTTTTGTCCCAGGAATTCTTTGCAAACTGATACATTAGTATAATATATCTGTTATTTTACATTGTATGCTACTCCAATTGAGTAATAGTTAAATCGGTATGTATGACCATTTGAGGGGAAAGTTCTGTAAAAACGTTGTGTTTAACATGTTAAGCTATCACAAACTTTGAGAAATATCTCTTTGTGCTCGGATTTTACCGTTATTGTGCATATTCTAGACAAAAGTGTATTTTATTTCATTCATATTGGTTTGAAATTTGAAAAAAAATGATTGAAGTAAAATCTTTGGTTCGAAATTCTCAAATTTTGAGAAATATCAATTTGTTAACAATGCAACACAAATCGATCTATATATTCCAAATTGATTCGTAACAATTCGATGTTTCTCAAAATTTGTGAATATCTAACCAATTATAGTTAAGTTTTACTGCTTTTCAAATAGCAAAACACATGAATAAAGATTGAGCAACATGAACTCATCAAAACACCGAAGTACTCACAGAAAAGACAGCTTAATTATTATGATAACCACTGTAGATAATGGAAGCTTAATGTGCATGAGTTTATTTAACAAGATGTGCATGAGTTTATTTAAATCACTTCTTACAAATCTCGAATCTCAAATCTGTGTCGTTTATATGTGTCAATATTAAGAAAATAGAAAAAAATGAAAAAAGTGAAGCAGTCTTCTTGAAAATGTATCTTAATTATAACTTTGCTGTTATATCTGAGATGAGATCAACACTGATGATTGGGTTTTATGATCCCTTTGTCACGTGCATACCTATTGAAATGTATTCCAAAAACAAAACACAAGCATTACCCAAGAAAATCACAGTATTTGATGTTTTTCTTTCTACTACTAGTTCTGTATGCAGCTGAGGATACTTTTTGTCAAGTACTTGCATGATGTAAATGATATCTAAATGTGCTACAACGAAGGTTATCAATTTGTTAGACATCTTTAATTGGTTTAAACTTATTTTTGTCCATTTTGGTTTTATGCTCTCGGTTATTTTTGGCTTCCCATACCTTTTGTCACGAACTTGCTCAATTAAGGTTTTCCAGAAACACTCGTACGCAAGGAAATCGTTTCATTTATTTCTTACATAATACAGTAAGTTATTGATTATTATATATCAGAAGAATTTAAAACAATATATATCTATCAAAAATAAATACAGGGATTGCCTTTCGTTTCATTTATGGAGTATTTATTAAATGCCAAAACGTTATTTGTTATATTTTAGTTGTTTTGTATGCCAGCATGAAGTCGAAGATATCGCTGATGTGTATTATTGTCAGGACTGTATAGGATGGATGTGCGAAAGCTGCTTCCAGGTTCACCAAATAACTCGCATATCGCAGAGCCATTGTATCATGAACTTACCACACATAACACAAATTTCCAAAGAGAATACATACAGGTTCACATTATTTCACCACGCTTCGTTCCCAGGGTCTGATATAAAAGATATTAAATCGCTGGCATCAGGGAAATTAGCTATTGCAGATTATAATAAAAAAATTATAATTTATAAATTGCACGAGGATAGCTTTGATGAAATAGTGCTACCATTTGCTCCTTGGTATGTAGCTGTCATAGATGACAACAATATCGCCGTCTCGTTCAGAACCAAACATTTCATTGGCATTGTAGATATTTCAAAAAGTGATATTAAACGTGTCATTTCTTTGGAAAAGCCGTGCACTGGTATAGCATTTTTCTCGGACGTTTTTTTCGTGACTGCAATGAACAGTCTTTTTACCTTAGACATCGAAGGCAATTCCCTTGCTTCAGTAAATATAGAAAGTTTAGATAGTGCGTTTAACAACTACATTTGTATTGGTAGAAACGGCAAAAAATTTATCAATGATTATTTACATGATCAAATTCTACAAATAGATGAATTGGGTGATACAATTTCCGTCTTCAAATCAAAACATTTCAAATATCCATGTGGTCTTACAATCGACGAAAATGGTTATGTTTATGTTGTATGCAGCGAATCCAACAACGTATTCAGGATAAATCCAGAAAATGATAATATTCAAATCATTCTAACCACTGATAATTACAGTTCAGGTGACACGAAAATATGTTTTCAAGATGATACAAAGCTACTGGCAATTTCAAACGGGAACATTGTATCTTTACATAGTTTTATAAATCTGTTTGATTGAAACATCTAGTAAATATGACATAGGATTAACGTTGGGGTCATGCAGTTCTAACCTCTCATACAAAGTGTCCAAATAATCTGTCAAAGAATTGTTCCAAACAGTCCTAGAAAAGTCTTTATCTAGACAGCCTTGACTGTTCTTGGAGTAGAAATGTTCGAACTAGCTCTAGGTAAAAACTATCCAAAATTTTCTAAATATAGTACTATTAGAATCTGTCCTATGGTAGAACTGTTAAAACCAGCTGTCCAAATCAAAAAAATGATGGACTCTTTAATGGACAATGTATTTGTTGTGTTTGGTGGAATAAAATGTCAACAGACAGTCTGTACTTCAATTTGTACTAGTTGTGCAGTAGTACTGACCGACTTTCTTATGTACTCATTCATATGAAGCACAATTCATATAGAACCTCTTGAAAGAAAAAAAGAGAAAAGGCGTCTTGCAAAGTTTGGTAATACAATTTCAGATGTTTTGAAGATGTCGACACCCAATAACCAACATTTCAATGAATGCTGATATCTTATATATCCAAGTGAACTTGACAGTAAGGAAACTACCGAAATTTGAACGTCTGCCGCAAATCTTGTCATTTCCTCGATATTTACACAGATGGACTGCTTCAAACTAGAATCTATTACACACGTAATGATTTCAACTTTACAATTGTCACCTTCCAATTATGAAGTAGTAACATTCCGTCTATTCAATCGTATGGTGTTAACTTATCTTATTTTATACGTTAGGTTCGTGCATGTTCACATTAAACGGACTTCTTTTGCAAGGCGCGATTCTTACACAAAATCTGCTCCAAAAGATTTATGAGGTATAAAGTCGGCGAAACTCCGTTCTAAATTATTTACAATAATTTTATAAGCAATCAAAGCCGGGCTTTAAAGTTATTGTGAAACTACCTACTTTAGGGGTGGCGTGAATTAAATGTGGATATTTCAAAATTTGAATGATTTGTTAGAGTACATACAATCTTAATCTCTTTCTTCTGGCAAAAGTATTAAAACATTTCATTTTTCCACCCTTTACAGAAGTATTCCCCATTCCAAACTAAAAGACAAATTGAAAAAATGTACTATTTTATTTCATAAAACAGAATGGCCAACGTAGATGTAAGTATCTTGTCTAAGGGCGGGATAAATAAAGGCAACAGTAGTATACCGGTGTTCAAAAGTCATAAATCGATTGAGAGAAAACAAATCCGGGTTACAAACTAAAACCGTGTGGTTCATGTTGCTCAGGTTTCTTTGTTGTGTTTTGAGTACTGTTTGTCTTTTCGTCGTTTTTCGTTTTTTGCCACAGCATTGTCAGTTTGTTTTCGACTTATGAGTTTCAATATCCCTTTAGTATTTTTTGCCTTTCCTTCACGGTCAATTTTACAAATTGGTTGCTGAATAATAATTTGCAAGACCATTCGCTTATGTTTTTGGCCTAAAATAAAAGTGGTGGTGTTTTGTTGAAATCAAGAAGACTTTATCATTTTCACCAAATACTTATTTTCACCTATTTCGTGTGACAATTCAATGCTTTATAAAATGGTTAACAAAATTTTTCAATCTGACATTCTCCCATGGTTATGCATCAGCTTTTAAACTTTAATTGATGACATAAAATGCCACGACAGGGCCCAAATCAAACATTCTCTTTCCTATCGATGCACATGGTATGGCTCCTTTTAGAAATCATGCAAATCACTCAGGATTTTTTTCTCTTTTTTGTTTTCCTAGTATTGTATCTTTTTAATCGATTTTTGAGAATTGAACATCGGTACACTGCTGTTGCCTAAATTTAAAACGAATTTCAGAGATCGGTCTGCTAAACCTCTTTCTCTGGAAATGTATTACATAAGATAATAAATCACTTAAATTTTACTTTGGTATCTTTATATATTTCACAAAAAGAGAAGTACATTTTGAGGTTTCATCATTATAGCAGCATATTGTTATGTCATTATTCCTGCACAACTTATTTTTATCAATGACTCATTTCACATTCCGGTATTTTGCTTAAATCACATATTTTGCTTCTGAAGAAATAAAATAAACACTTTTTAAAATATGTGCGCCCGACGATTTTTTTTTTTTTTTTTTTATCTATCTTGATTAGGAACGTTTAAACTTAAAATTCGAAAAGACATCTGTGAATGGTTGTTTGTTTTTTGCTGGATGGTGTTTGTTTTAATCAATTCTTGATTTCACTCTTTGAATCTCCTCACTCTGTTTTCTTTTAAGTATGAAATATTATTGGTAATCCTTAAATGTCAATTGTTTACAATTCTGATCAATTTCTACTTAAGACGTGTGAATGTTGATGTCAACAAATTGACAAAATGTGTTAGATAAAGATGAAAAAGTATGAATGGCATAATTACATTTGGCTGGAAATGACACATTAACAAAAAATAAATATATGATCATTGTGCTGAAAAGTAAACAAAATATAGACCATTATTCCTACGATTGGAGGAAAAAACACACCTGACTATGACTTTTAATCACCACACCTTGTGACAGAAGGATATGTCTCCAGGGTAGTATATGATACTCTGTATTATTAATTCAATTATGCCAACTCTTATCTGCTTCTAGATGCAAGTGCTTCTGGATGATTCCTCAAAAAAACGACTTCAATGTTAATATTTGTTACAGAGTATGAACAGTTAATTGTATCTGTCAAGTAGTAAAAAATATTGATTAATTAATTACAAATACTAGAAGTAAAACATTGACCTCCATTTTTCTCAATAGATAACACAAATATGACACCGCATTATCATATAGCTATATTGGAATTCATACTTTATATAATGTACATATGTATAGATGTTAAATTGTTTTATTGTTTTTTTAAGAATAAATGTCAATTCCAATCCTTGTGTTCATTGCATTTAAAAACAAGGAGTAATGGTAGGATTGCCAATGAGATAAATATCCACCAAAAACCACGGACGGAGATGGGAATGAGATCAGGTTATCCTAATACCTCCAACAATTTGCAACACTTATACAATATACTGAACTTTACACGTTATGATTTGTTATGTCAGTGCCTATTAATCTATAGCTGACTGTACAGTATGGGATTTGCTCAATGTTGAAGACCGTACGGTGACCTATAGTTACCTAGATCATAGTGTCATACCACATCCATTTTTTATATATAAAAGTCAGATATTTAAAGCGAATTTGAAGAGGATATTAAAGTGACATTGGTTGAAATAGTCCTGCTCTCTTTGTGATAAACCTGTTATCCTTCAATGGTAATTACGATTATATTAAAGTGTTGACTGTTGTACCCCAATGTTTGACATTTTTACCTTTTATGTCTGTTTATTTTGCTCACACATTGTTGTCAATATAATAGAATTCTATGTTACTGTCATACAAGAGAGAGGTTTAGCTAGCTATAAAACCAGGTTTAATCCACCATTTTCTACATAAGGAAATGCCTGTACCAAGTCAGGAATATGACAGTTGTTTTCCATTCGTTTGATGTGTTTGAGCTTTTGATTTTGCCATTTTATTAAAGACTTTCCGTTTTGAATTTCCCTTGGAGCTTGGTATTTTTGTTATTTTACCTTTTTCAATACATCAAGTACGAATTATCACTATCACCACAAAGAATACACATTAATCACTATAAAGAGGTGATGTTCTCGTGATGCATTGATTGTAAACAATATACTAAATTTTACAACAAAAGAGATGAGTTCAATTGTCCAAGTGTGAACTTTCCATGTCTATGTAGCACTAATTTAGTAGCACATTCATAGAGGGTTGCTGCTTATATGAAAACTATTGAAACAATGATTTTTAAATAATAAAGTATAAATCATGTTTTGACATATACGGATGCCATCCTAATCTATTTGACTGATATCGTATACTTTTGTTACAGATGAGTTCTGATATGTTTGTCGATATTTTATTCATTCAGCAACTTATTTCTGTATTTGTACTTGCAAGAAAACGGGTGCTATCAGTGAAACAGAAACTGTTTACTCTTCTGGAATTAATCATTGTTCTTATGTGGTTAGTGTTTCTTTATTTATGAGTGAGTCGTTGCATGTTTGTCCGTTTGCATTTTTCTTTTGACAATTATGTTGTTTATCTTTTTAAGTTGTAGTTTTTAATAAGCCCTCGTTATCTTGTGTTCTTTTTGATAAAAAAAGGAAACGCTATTGTCGGACTTTGTATTGACGGCTTTTTATTTTTTTTTTATTTAAATTCATACGATACGAGTTCTAAAGTTATATTTCTATGTCAACAACTTGATGACACATATGTATTCATATAATTGTACAATTACAAAGGTTTTAAGGTGAACAAAGCCGATGCGGGATATACATCCATGTGACAGAACAAAATAAAACATCCAGAAGTCGACATATTGCACTCAATAAAACGCAGGTGTCTGACCGATATGACAACCATTAAAATGCACCGAATCTTAAAAAAAAAATTCGTAAGGGTCCAGCCGAACCCAGTGTCTCGCCTACTTTTGCTGCTATTCACAGGCTCAACAAAAATGAGGGAAAAATTATTAAAAATTTTCCTATAGATACTATCTTTTGATTGTAAGAAGCTTCTGTCCAAGTTTGGTAAAAATCAAGAATGGTTTATGAATCTAATAAATGTTTTTAAAACTTTAACTACAGATTGTATGTAATGTTAACTGGGAGAAAAACAAAACTAAGTCCGTTTATAAGTTATATACGGAAAAACAGGAAATAAATTTTTACATTTCCTTCTAGATACTAGCTTTTGGTCATAAAAAAGCTTCTGTCCAAGTTTGGTACAAATCCAGGATAGTTTAAGAAAGTTATTAAAAATTTTAAAACTTTAACCACAGAGTGAATGTAATGTTAACTGGCAGAAAAACTAAGTCCATTTATAAGTAAAAAACGGAAAATAGGATTATTTTTACAAAATTTACTTCTGAATACTATCTTATAATCATAAACAAACTTCTGTCCAATTTTGGTAGAAATCCTGGATAGTTTAAGAAAGTTATTAAAATTTCAAAAACTTTAACCACAGAGTGAATATTTGTGGACGTCACCGACGACGGCGACGACGACGACGGAATGTAGGAACGCTATGTCTCGTTTTTGCGACAAAATTCGCAGGCTCGACAAAAATGTGTATATTTTAAATATATAGAAAGACAGAATCACTAGCCAATTTGTCAGTGATTTGGTATTTTAACAAATATGAAAAGGAAATCACGTTTTCAAACATCTCAGACAAAATTGACCTTCGGTGGTTCTGCGTTTCTGCTTGACTATCTTTGGTTTTGATGTTCCTAAATGGTTTATATATCTTAACTTCAATATTCTGATCTAGAAAGCATCCAACAAATGGTTATCATAAAACAAGGGTCGTTTGGACAGAAATCGATATCACACCTACGCCTTCTAACTGTTTTGATTCGAGCGTCACTTATGAGTCTTATGTAAATGAAACAGATGTCTGACGTACCAAATCAAAAGCCTGGAATCTTTGATGAGTTTTTACATGTTATCTAAAGATTATGTAATTTTTTAATATTTTTGAAGAAACGGGACAAGTTCACCACCCGGTTCGAGATTTTTTAAAAATAGTTGCTGGTTTGATATAAGTAGTTCAAAATATGGTGTCAAGAAAAAGAACATAAGAACAGAATTGTTTTATTTTATAACAATACAATATTGCATAACAATAATACAATAAATAAATTCCCAGAAAGCACCCTTTTGAATGTTGCATAACACAATCATATCAATCATATAACAAAATACAACAAATCCTACCTGAATCAATTACATTTCATACACATTGTAATCATTTACACACTTATTCAACGACAAAAAGAACAATAACCGACTGAACTGGTCGGAGTACTGAAATAGATTTTTATGTTAATGAAAGGTCTACTTTTCGATCGAAATAAGTCAAACTGAATCATTGTTAAAAGTTAAGGTTACTATAACAGTCAAACTGAATCATTGTTAAAAGTTAAGGTTACTATAACAGTCAAACTGAATCATTGTTAAAAGTTAAGGTTACTATAACAGTTTCTCCATCATGCATTATCACTATTAGGATCATCGGGGTATGGATTTAATGTACAATGAATTCAATAATGATTTAAGTCATACATGTACCACATCGCTTTATCCTTATATTAACATTAATTGTGATAACTAAGTTTTATCAAATTATCAAAGTCTTAATTCTCTTGTAGAGTAAGAAAATGTTAACATGATATAGCATGCATGCAAGTGTTTGGCTATTTTACATGTTTTCTTTTTTAATTTTAGCAGACACAAAACTTGGCATTTCAATTAAATATGCAGTTATGAGGCAATACAACGGCATAATGTATACTAATTCATGAAAAAACAGTAATGTATTCATATGAATAATGATAAATTCTAAATGAGTTAACCAAAACGCTTGTTTTTGTCGAACTTCTGTAAAGAAAAAAATTGAAACCTAATTAAGACATCAACGTGTTTTGAAAACATTCTTAACTTATAAACCAGTTTGCTTTAGATAAATAGCTCCATGAATTATAAATTGAATATATTCATGGAAGGCGGAGGCATATTTTACATAAAATATGATTTTACATACCAGAACAAAAATAAAAGACTTAGCAAAAACAACATTTTGCAAAATAGATACAAATATTGTTTAAAAATGTTTTATACTGACATTAACAACATATTTGTGACGCATTAATAACGATCAAGAAAGTCAAAGATAAAAAAAAACCTTATGAACTGATTTAACATTTATTGGTACAAAAAAGAACACAGTAAAAACTAATTCTTTTTTGTAACAGTTTAAACCCTTAACTAATAAATACCGTTTTTTATCAATTTATTTGGGCATAATACATTTGATCTTGCAACATGCAAACACAATTTCCAATTCAATAACAAATCTGATCTTTAAAAATATATTAACAGGACTACAATACATTTTCAGTCTTGAACACATATTTGGAAGTCTTTTTACAGCACCAACTGCATGGATGTATGAACGAATTGAGGAAGGTAGCGGATTTGAATCAAGGAGACGGATACTCAGATACCAAAAACAGGAGAAGACATACAGGTATGTTTACAAAGAGATGATTATTCCAATCAAGTAAATCTTAAAAAAAAACTTTAACAATCATAAAGTATCTTTAAAACTGTAAAACCCAATAATAAAGTGTCTGTTTAAATGCAAAAGGAATCCTTTTTGAAAAGCATTAGGCACGCAGAGCCAAACTTAAATAACTTGAAAAGGATGTAAGCAGGTGAGATACATAGACTAGCGAAAACCATGGTCAGTCTATGGTGTTGTTGTCGTTCAATCTCAAAAACAAAGGTGCAAGCTAAGGGTTCATTACTAACAAACAAATAGATACGTTTAAGGTTATAAAAGGCAAGGTGGATTTTAGAGATCATAAATTTACACAAGGAGTAGTTCTGATTAACTAAAACCTAAAACTTGGTACATATATGAACTATCGTTTGATTTAGGTGAATGGATGAATGTAAAATAATCTTGAAAATGTTTACAAAAATGAACATGTTACATATTGTTATAGGTAGAAAATGAAAAAAAATATTTATAATACACCAACAAAAACAAACAATCAAAAATCTGTTAATTGGGAATAACAGTTTGAAAGACTAATGGTATGACTATCAGTAATTATAATGGTTAAACTGCCAATGCTGTGTAACTATCTGACTGTTACAAGCACGCATTATTGGACCTTGACCATCATGATCCAGACAAAATCCACTTTTGATATGTTTGAGAAAGCCACTCTGAAAAAAAGTCAAACGTTCAAATATATTAAATCAATGAAGAGTTTATAGCGTTGTTATATAGATTCATAAATTTTAATTTAACCTCCAATAGTCTGGGTACTGATGAATTAATGGTCACATTCACAACGAGCAACTGCAATAGTCTTTACATGTCAGGGTTATGATGTATTAACGGTCACATTCACAACGAGCAACTGCAATAGTCTTTACATGTCAAGGTTATGATGTATTAACGGTCACATTCACAACGAGCAACTGCAATAGTCTGTGCATGTCAGGGTACTGATATCAACGAGCAACTGCAATAGTCTTTTCATGTCAGGGTACTGATATATAAACGGTCACATTCACAACGAGCTACTGCAATAGTCTTTCCATGTCAGGGTACGGATTTATAAACGGTCACATTCACAACGAGCAACTGGGATAGTCTTGTCATGTCAGGGTATTGATATATTAACGGTCACATTCACAATGAGCACCTGCATTAGTTTTTTCATGTCAGAGTACTGATACATTAACGGTCACATTCACAACGAGCAACTGCAATAGTATGTTCATGTCAGGGTACTGATATCAACGAGCAACTGCAATAGTCTTTTCATGTCAGGGTACTGATATATTATTGGTCACATTAACAACGAGCTACTGCAATAGTCTTTTCATGTCAGGGTACTGATTTATTAACGGTCACATTCACAACGAGCAACTGCAATAGTCTTTTCATGTCAGGGTACTGATTTATTAACGATCATATTCACAACGAGCAACTGCAATAGTCTTTTCATGTCAGGGTACTGATATATTAACGGTCACATTCACAACGAGCAACTGCAATAGTCCTTTTCATGTCAGGGTACTGATATATTAAAGGTCACATTCACAACGAGAAACTGCAATAGTCCTTTTCATGTAAGGATACTGATTTATTAACGATCATACAACGAGCAACTGCAATAGTCTGTTAATGTCAGGGTACTGATATATATTATTGGTCACATTCACAACGAGCAAATGCAATAGTCTTTTCATGTCAGGGTACTGATGTATTAACGGTCACATTTACAACGAGCAACTGCAATAGTCTTGTCATCTCAGGGTACTGATATCAACGAGCAACTGCAATAGTTTTTTCATGTCAGGGCAGTGATATATTAACGGTCACATTCATAACGAGCAACTGCAATAGTCTTTTCATGTCAGGGCACTGATTTATTAACGGTTACATAACAACGAGCAATTGCAATAGTCTTTTCATGTCAGGGTACTGATGTATCAACGGTCACATTCACAACGAGCAACTGTAATATTCTTTTCATGTCAGGGTACTGATGTATTAACGGTCACATTCACAACGAGCAACTGTAATAGTCTTTACATGTCAGGATACTGATGTATTAACGGTCGCATTCACAACGAGCAATTGCCATAGTCTTGTCATGTCAGGGTACTGATATCAACGAGCAACTGCAATAGTCTTGTCATGTCAGGGTACTCATTTGTTAACGATCACATTCACAACGAGCAACTGCAATAGTCTATTCATGTCAGGGTACTGATGTATTAACGGTCACATTCACAACGAGCAACTGCAATAGTCTTGTCATGTCAGGGTACTGATATCAACGAGCATCTGCCATAGTCTTGTCATGTCAGGGTACTGATATCAACGAGCAACTGCAATAGTCTTGTCATGTCAGGGTACTCATTTGTTAACGATCACATTCACAACGAGCACCTCCAATAGTCTTTTCATGTCGGGGTACTGATATATTAACGGTCACATTCACAACGAGCAACTGTTATAATCTTTTCATATCAGGGTTCTGATATCAACGAGCAACTGCAATAGTCTTGTCATGTCAGCGTACTGATATATTAACGATTACATTCACAACGAGCTACTGCAATAGTCTTTTCATGTCAGGGTACTGATATCAACGAGCAACTGCAATAGTCTTTCATATCACGGTACTGATATATTAACGGTGACATTCACAACAACAACTGCAATAGTCTTTTCATGTCAGGGTACTGATGTATTAACGGTCACATTCACAATGAGCAACTGCAATAGTCTTGTCATGTCAGGGAACTGATATGAACGAGCAACTGCAATAGTCTTTTCATATCAGGGCACTGATATATTAACGGTCACATTCATAACGAGCAACTGCAATAGTCTTTTCATGTCAGGGTACTGATTTATTAACGGTCATTGATTGGCTCGGGGTCAGAATAATGTGTCTATGTACGGTAACATGTCTTTCAGTGGACTGTTATGATGTGAACTAGGAAGTTTAAAATTTGGATGAGCATGTCGGTCTAGTACAAAGCAGAGTTCATATCGCGTTAACATTATATCCTGAATATTCATCTGATTTGCCACTCGATGAAAATACAGCCATTCATCTTTTCACATTAGAATGCTGATGTTTTAGCGATCATGTATATCACGTACACCTATAATTCAGTCTTTCCTACCACTGGTCGATAATTCTGCTGGTGAACTGTAAGTATCCAAGGGTATCACCGGCCCAGTAGGCAGTACCTCTGTATTAGTATGAAAATACGGATATTGTTGAATTAAAATTCACTGTTTTAAATTTTGGAAATTATTTTGTGTTAAGGAATATATATCTCATTCATGTGAAGCTCGTATTCCTTGCCCGGCTTTGGCTATATGTATGTTGTTTTTGTATTTTTTGTTTTTTGGTTTCGTCAGCTCATAAACGTTTGTATTAGGTTTTGAATTTTCAAATATGTTGGCCTTGAGAGTCACTGAAGAGACATTATTTGTCGAAATGCGCCTCTGATGCAGGAACATTAGTACTATTAATCTTATTAAACACAGAAAAACTGAATTTGTATGGTCATATTTTGCACGAGTGCCTATAACAGAATGATGACCTTGTAATGGTCCAATTCATCACGCGAACTCATAAAAAGCACCTACAATACAGTCTTTTTACACCAAAATATTGACTTGTTTATAGTTCCATTTATCACAAGGGCCTAAATGCTATAATACAGTCTTCTAAAACCTAATACAGACCTTTTTGTGGTCCCATTGATCACGAGGACCTATAATACAGTCTTCTAAAATCGGCCTGGTACCTTCTTGCATGTCTTTTACAACCACACACTGTAAAGATGTTCGGAGAAGTCTCTCCTTGGTCCATGAAAACCCCTGAATTTTCAAAAACAGGTAGAGGCATGAATTTAAAGAGATATTGAACTGCAACCTAATCACTACTCAATAATAACAAAATAACTCTTGATATCAACAAAGGCTTTCAAAAGTATGTCTATAAACAAACGATTTTCTATTACAGAAATAGTTTGAAAGTTAAGTCATCAGTGCTCTCCAACTTCGTACTTGATTTGGCCTTTCAACATTTTTGATTTGAGCGTCACTGATGAGTCTTTTGTAGGCGAAATTAGCGTCTGGCGCAATACACTATAACCCTTGTACCTTTTGTGATTTTTTTCTATATAAAAAAAAACAATCCAGAAGATAAAAAAGATTCCTGCCTATACTTTTGTATCGCAGACGCGCGTTTCGTCTACAAAAGATTCACCGGTGACGCACGATGCAAGATGTCAGTTTTAAATACGTTCATATATCGTGTGGTCATTAACGGTCAATCAAAATAGTATAGCGTCCATTAATAATGCCAAACTCATTTAAAACTATATTTCACTACCATTATAGTAAATTCGAAATAATCATTCAAAACATTATCCGTCAAACGTTATAATCATCTGGAAACTTATTATTATTAAGCAAACTGACCCAAACTAATACCATCCCTCACCACGAACCTCAAAACAATTCGGACAATCAAATATTTTAAGAACTATATATTCCAAGTTTTGCTGAACACGTCCAAAAGTATATAAATGTTTGATGTTTAATGTTAATTATCATTTATACAAAAAGTATATTTTTAAACTCATCAGAACCAATCCGCTGCTTTGAATATTCTTCTGTTTTGTTGCTTTACTTTTTAGACCTTGTGCTGTCAAACCAAATTATTGTGCTAAACATAGTTTATTTAAACCAAATTAACGGTCATCTGCATTGAGTTTATAGCATTGTCTAAATACAATTAAGAAAACTTTGATTGTCTAGGCATGGATCAAGAAAATATCAACATCATTACCTGAGTTGCCAGTTTGTAATGGCATGTGTCCACATAAAGCGCTTCCGGTGCTTGAAATAAATAGCTATGATTGTCTAAACATTGATTATTCTTTAAATTCCGTGCCTACAAAAGAAACAAGAGAAAATATTTTTTAAAACAAAAACATCCAGGAGAATGTTATTCGTAGACTGTCGATGGTTGCCGACTGCCATATCTGCTTTCTGTTTCGGTTATTGTTTTATCATAAAAAAAAATTTATCCGCTGTCATGCCGGGGACTTGCATATCTTATGTTGAGGTATGTGTTTTGTTCATTGTTGAAGGCAATGCAGTGCTCTATATTTGCATACGATCATGTTTTAAAACTGGGTGATAGTTGACATGCTGAGCCGGATTTTTAACGTGCAATCTCACATGTTAACTTTCAGCAGGTAGACATGTCACCCAACACGGACACATGATTCTGACTCCGAGCTTATCAGCCTTTCTTCTACTTCAAAACGCCACGTGCTTGGCGAAGAACGAACGACCTTCCGCACTCGAGGCGATAATGCTACCATGAGATCACTGAGGCCATTACTTATTTTTTTAACTTTGTTTTGTGCGAGTTACTGTGTTTCACAATTGTACGCCTTTCTATCATCATTTTGAATATCGAATGGAAACTTTGCACGAGGTCATGTTTTCCTCTGACTGTTTATGACGTCTTTACACTAAATCCATTGGATGTTGGATTTGTACTGATTGATATTTTAGTCTTAGATGCATGCTTTTTTTATTAGTTGTTATTGAGTTTGAACTAGCTGTCAGTAACTGCGAGTACTCTCAGATCTGTACTTAGTGTCTTTTTGTTGTGGGGATGTATAAGTACCCTACCACGTCCACTCTGTGTTTTTGTTACTTGTTTTTGCTTTGTATCTATCTGATTAGGTAAGCCCTTTTCAACTGATTTTTATAGTTTGTTCATATGTTGTACTGTTACACAACTGTCCTAGGTTAGGGGAGGGTTGGGCGCCCGCTAACATGTTTAACCCCACCACATTCTGTATGTGTCTATCCCAAGTCAGGAGCCTGTAATTCAGTGGTTGTCGTGTGTTGCTGTATATCATATTTGTTTTTCGTTCATTATTTTATACATAAATCAGGCCGCTAGTTTTCACGTTTGAAAAGTTTTACATTTGTCATTTCTGGGCCTTTTATAGCTGACTATGCGGTATGGGCTTTGCTCATTGTTGAAGACCGTACGGTGACATATAGTTGTTAATTTCTGTGTCATTTGGTCTCTTGTGGAGAGTTGTCCCATTGGCAATCACACCACATCTTCTGATTTTTATATTATTTACATTCCTTAGTACTAGAATAAACATATTAAAAAAGAGGAACAAAAAAGTCACCATTATTTACCGAACGCTACGCTACATCTATTTCAAAAAGAAAACCAAATTTGTCTTTGTGATAACCTTTCAATTCTCTGTGGATTTGTCAACAAAAATATTTATTACAGGGATCATGCCTTATTTTCGCTCCTAATTTTATTGGACTCGTGTTCATTTGCTATAGTTTCGTTTTGTTCTTGTGGTATTTCTGTTGTCCATCATTTGTCCTGATAAACTTTGTAATCAATTTTAAAAATATCCATTTAAGGATGGTTTGTGAATTTGAAAACGTCGTAATGTTTGACATATTTTATCCCGCTACGGTATGAATCTTGGCAGTAACCATACATTATTGGATGTAAACAATAGTAATAACACAAAGGCTGTCACTTTTTTAGGAAGAAACCACTAAACCTTTTGTTTACCTTTTAGGGAGACGGATTTATACAAGAGCAGTGCTCTTGTTTCCTTATCCTAATTATTATATTACTTGTATAGTACGTATTTATTGTCGCTTGTAGCCATACATAACGAATTCGTTAATAAAATGTCTTTACACTAAACCTTTTGTTTTTGTTTTCGGTGTATTGTTTTGACAACTTTTGTTGTCTTTTGTCTTTAAATCATAGTCTTCTATGTTTTTCTGTGGGTGATATGCTTTGATTGTCCCATTGTTACTTTGCTTGCATCTGCCTAATGCTCACACATTGTTGTCAATATAATGGAATTGTATGCGAGTGTCATACAAGTGAGAGGTTTAGCTAGCTATAAAACCAGGTTTAATCATTTTCTATATAAGCAAATGCCTGTACCACTTCATGAATATGACCGTTGTTTTTCATTCGTTTGATGTGTTTGGGCTTTTGATTTTGCCATTTGATACAGGACTTTCCGTTTTGAATTTCCTTGGAGTTCGGTATTTCTGTTATTTTACTTTTTACTGGTGCCCAAGTCTTACTTTGTTTGCATTTGCATAATACTAAACGGTCACAAAGCACTACTTTGCTGGTAACTGCCTAATACTTACTGATCCCCAAGCAAATACATTATGATCAAAGATTGACAGTTCCGGCCAGACATTTGTGATAAACCAAGTGAAATTTTTACACTGTAGTTTCTCCTTCAGCTTAAACCGTTCTGATAAATCACCAGCGTTAATAGTCTGTAATAAAGACAGAAAGAAATTAAAGAATACACGACCCTGAAAAAGATTAATAAAAAGAGTTTTCCAGTATAAGTACCATATATTTTAGCAGCCAGCTACTTCAGACTGTACTTCAAAAGAATACAGTATGTCTTATATCAGCACTAGCTTTTTAGTGAGTTTAAGAATCAATTATTTTGAGGTCTTTATTTGGTTTTGTACATTTCTTTTTAAGAATCTATTTTAAACCGTTAACTTTACATAATTATGAAATATATTTGCTCGGTGAGCCAAATATATCGATATTTAACATTCATCTTACCGCCATTTCAGGGAAATGATCATAAATAAACTGTTTGTGATTCGGTTCCATCCACACTTCTACCGCCCGTTTGTAATTGTAAACCTCAATATTCCGTCTACCACCGGGAAATTCGTAGGGCTGTGTACGTGCTATATGTCCGAGATGAGAGCAAGGGAGGTGAACAAAGCGTCCACCACACATCCATACCTTTAATAACAACCAGAATTATATAAATAAAAAAAACATATAGTGTAAAGGCAATAAAGTAAATAAATGTAATGTATATATTTTACAGTAATTTATAATTCAAATTATCCAGCGTTGGGTAGATACGAATATAAAGATGTGACGAAACAAAAATACTCCCAAATGTAGCCTTCAAGAATTACCAAGTGTCCATAGTACATGACAAGTACTCATATAAGATATATATCGTCCCAATACAACTTTAAACATAAATAAAGGTATAGTTCAGACGTTAACAAAACAAGACAACATATTTCTGTTTAGTTGCTTAAGCCATGTGGTCTTGTATTGTCCATATAGAGATCTTAATTTTTGACACTCTGCGTAATGCCCTAGAAATATCACTAAACAAAGGGTTTAGGAAAATTAACCCTTCTCCCTCAAAGATATTTAAAACAATCCATGTGTGTATATTCAATGTACAATTAATGCATACCCTCCAAGACATTTCTAGATTTTCACCACCCCATACAGTCATGCCTTCATCATAAGCGCCGATTTCACCAAAATATTTACTGTCCACGGCATAAGCAGCACCAACCATTACCGTACCTCTGAAATATATAATTAATAGAAAAAATGATAACTAAAGGCAAATTATTTTTTTTTCTTAACGTTTTACTCCTGCAATGATCAAAGCATAGGCAAAACACACAACTTACTTGTCTCTGACTTGTTCAAATGGATTACTCTCCTTTGCTAACCTCCAGTTCCAATGACATGTGTTTATGGGGTAACATTCCTTTGCTAACCTCCATTGCCTATGACATATGTTTATGGGGGTAACATTCCTTTGCCAACCTCCATTGCCAATGACATATGTTTATGGGGGTAACATTCCTTTGCTAACCTCCAGTTCCAATGACATATGTTTATGGGGGTAACATTCCTTTGCTAACCTCCATTGCCTATGACATATGTTTATGGGGGTAACATTCCTTTGCCAACCTCCATTGCCAATGACATATGTTTATGGGGGTAACATTCCTTTGCTAACCTCCAGTTCCAATGACATATGTTTATGGGGGTAACATTCCTTTGCTAACCTCCAGTTCCAATGACATGTGTTTATGGGGTAACATTCCTTTGCTAACCTCCATTGCCAATGACATATGTTTATGGGGGTAACATTCCTTTGCTAACCTCCAGTTCTAATGACATGTGTTTATGGGGTAACATTCCTTTGCTAACCTCCATTGCCAATGACATGTGTTTATGGGGTAACATTCCTTTGCTAACCTCCATTGCCTATGACATATGTTTATGGGGTAACATTCCTTTGCTAACCTCCATTGCCAATGACATATGTTTATGGGGTAACATTCCTTTGCTAACCTCCATTGCCTATGACATATGTTTATGGGGTAACATTCCTTTGCTAACCTCCATTGCCAATGACATATGTTTATGGGGTAACATTCCTTTGCTAACCTCCATTGCCAATGACATATGTTTATGGGGTAACATTCCTTAGCTAAGGTCTAGTGCTAATGACATATACAACTTGAAAATTGTATCATGAGAAATATGCAACCTTAGTTTCAATAATAATATATGTCATATCCTGAACATATAAAGACACAGTCAAAATTATCGAATGCCTACTTTACCTGTGTGTGTGTGTGTGTTAACTTAAAATTGAGTGAAGATGTAGAACTTTTATTCCAGCGAAACTGATGATGTACAATTAAAATGAATCGTTTACATCAAGCAAGTAACAAAATAGTGGCTACTAAGCGGCCTGTTATCTTGATTTACAGTAAAAAAAAATTAATTTAATGACACATTTGTCTACAATCAGAATTAATCTCACTAGCCATTCGATTTTATCTATTTTTTTTTCATCCTTTTTATGTTTTTGATCAGTTGTAATAATTATATGAAAATAATACATTTATGATACATACATAATATGGCCTGTAAATTGTTTAAATTAATGCAAGATTTACTATTCAAGACATATTTAAAGCTTTTCTGTTGAACTACTTTTCCTGATCTTTGCTATTAAAATATTTACATACGGCCTTACGTCTTCCTCTGTCGCTCCAATCTGATCCTGTCTGAAGAAAGTTTCGAAAAATACAAGCCTCCAATCAAACCCATAACGAGTCATATAACCCTCGTTAAAACGATATTCAAAACTTTCTGCATTGACATAATCAAGTACACCCATAGCTATTGTTTTTCTGTCCTTTTTTACCTCTGTAAGTAAGGGTTGTAACCTGAAAGAATATGATTGATATGATATGACTATGTGTTTTCTATTCACAGAGGTATAACAAATAGAGATGTATTCTAGGCTAAACATAAACTACTTCAAAAGAGAAGGATGGCAATCATTAACTGTTTCGTGTTTCTACATTGCAATCACATATTTTGTATCGTACCACTTTCTCGGCGTCTGTGTTTTTTTTTTTTTTTCATTCAAACAATTGTTACGTCTTCAAAGATCCTACATATATTAAGAGGGATCTAGCATAAGGATCTATGTATCCGAGCAAAACATTTACTAAATACTTTTAAATAACCAATACATCAAGAACGCAACACTTGCATTGCTATTTTTCTTTTAATAAATAATGGGGTTCTTCAACAAAAGAAATTAACCCTTCAAACCTTAACCCTCTGCTCCCATCTCACATCATCTATTTAAACGGTACTACAACTGAATTCTATAAGCAGTGTAATATTGTCCATAGCAGGAATACACGAATATGATTATGATTCAATGATGGATGAACAGCTTGAAATATTTACACTTATTTTGCTTTTGTTTTGAAATGCCGTCGATTTACACAGTTTCTACACCCATGTCTGTATAGTTATAGATTTATATCTTATCTCCAGACTGATTAATTATACTACTACCTATTTGTAGGATTGGCATCTTTTTTTAACGTTAACGTGACTCATATGATTATTTTTTCACCGTTATACTAAAGTGACTTACCAGTCTATATTGACTTCCATGTGACTGTCAAAGAACACCAAAGTAACTTACCAGTCTATATTGACTTCCATGTGACTGTCAAAGAACACTAAAGTAACTTACCAGTCTATATTGACTTCCATGTGACTGTCAAAGAACACAAAAGTAACTTACCAGTCTATATTGACTTCCATGTGACTGTCAAAGAACACTAAAGTAACTTACCAGTCTATATTGACTTCCATGTGACTGTCAAAGAACACCAAAGTAACTTACCAGTCTATATTGACTTCCATGTGACTGTCAAAGAACACTAAAGTAACTTACCAGTCTATATTGACTTCCATGTGACTGTCAAAGAACACCAAAGTAACTTACCAGTCTATATTGACTTCCATGTGAAGGTCAAAGAACACCAGAGTAACTTACCAGTCTATATTGACTTCTATGTGACTGTCAAAGAACACCAAAGTAACTGACCAGTCTATATTGACTTCCATGTGACTGTCAAAGAACACCAAAGTAACTTACCAGTCTATATTGACTTCTATGTGACTGTCAAAGAACACCAAAGTAACTGACCAGTCTATATTGACTTCCATGTGACTGTCAAAGAACACCAAAGTAACTTACCAGTCTATATTGACTTCTATGTGACTGTCAAAGAACACCAAAGTAACTGACCAGTCTATATTGACTTCCATGTGACTGTCAAAGAACACTAAAGTAACTTACCAGTCTATATTGACTTCCATGTGACTGTCAAAGAACACAACAACTTGTCCAGTAGATTCCCGCCATCCTTTTAACCGAGCCTTGATTAAGCCTAAACGTGTAGGGTTACGTAGAACCTTTATTATGCCTTTAGGAAAATTGTCATTGATATACTCATCTAGGGGCCTTTTCAGCTCAACTGTAAATATATCATATTGTTAAACAGTTATATCTCATGTCAGTTAATCTGAAATTACGATGAATTGCTTAGGTTTTCATTTGTTAATGACTTAAAGTAAATATGGTATATACGTAAGACAGCAACCAAACACTACAAAGACACGGATATCTATAGGTCACCATAGGGTATTTTTGTTCGTTGTTTATCTTTATACTATTACATGACCATAAAAGGATACTATATGTAAACATATGCAAGGCAAATGGTTAGTCCTCTTTTAAGTATATTTGATTACGTATCATTGTGTAAACGGAAAAAATAGACAATTTCCTTTATTCTTCCGATTTGTCATACAGATTCTATTTTTTTTTTGTTAATTTATTTAGATTCTTCGTTAAGAATGACAAGAAAGTATCTGCGGGGAGTTGCAAATAGCTGACCTACACCTAAAAGTAAATATTCAACTTGCAAATACTTGAAAAGAGTCGAAAATCGGTTGCTTGTGTGTTTATCGTCCTACACGGCATCTTCATATAGTCAAAAGTCAATACACGGAATACACATATTTGCACAGAAATAGTGTTATATAAATTATTAAAGATATTAAAATGTAAATAGTTGTCGTCTTATGTGTGACCACGACTTACGTTTGTTGACATTGCTATGTCTGGTTGTTTTATCTAAGGTAACACTTCATTTTATCTATGAACGACCTGTCTCTTCAGATAAATTGTGTCAACGGGAAGAATCTTAAACTATTATTCTATGAGATGTGATTGATTAATCGATATTTGAATTGATATAAACAAATAGTATTAAATGTTAAATAGAATATGTTTAACCTGTAATAATAACGTATACCAATTAATCGTAACAAAAAATACTAAAACATATTTTATAAAAAAAAACCAAATATCTAACCAGACTTTTAGTCATATGACAAAGGAATATGACAGTTGTTTTAAATTCGTTTGATGTGTTTGAGCTTTTGATTTTGCCATTTGATAAGGGACTTTCCGATTTGAATTTTCCTTGGAGTTCTATTTTTGTTATTATACTTTTTAGTCATTTTGAAGTACAACAATCACATATATACTATAACTTCGCCTTATGTTTGTGTGTGCCTTTTCCATAAAAGAGAAAACACCAAGGTGTCATTCAAAAATCATCAGTCTAAGTCAAGAATCATTTCAATTTTTGTCTTTGTTCATTGCAGAATGGTTTCGTCATCTTAAAAATTTGTCTTGGTGAAGGTAATCTGTTAACTTTATTCACAACCTTTCTAGACTAAGGGTAGACCATATGAAGATCTATAAATGTCTTTTGTGGTTATTTTGTGTTGTTCCTGCGCTGTTTGGTAGTATGCAATTGACTTATACAACTTATCTTATGACTTAACTCAAGGCGCGCTTTAACCGAAATAGATAGGTAGCTGTCAAAATAAAGTCTACACAATTGTCCTGCAACCACTATAATGTTTATTTAAAAAGAGGGGGGTAGTACAACAATACTATTGAAACGGTATTTGAAACACTAACTGACTGAGAAGTTTCCGAAAATACGAGCTGATCTTTCTAACATCATACTTATAACATATGACAAACTTTGCCTTAGTTTATAATTAATTGTTACAATACTGTGATCCCAATGATAAGAGAAATCTTTATCATAATTACAACGCGCAGACTTTAATTTTACACAACATTCGCTTTTTAACCATACTCAATTTCTAGTTATACATATATTTTGAATAGAATATTCAATCGATAGCATCGATTGACGTAATTTTGGCAAGAGTTATTTCCCTTTAATTGCCACGTTGGATGTTATCATCATTTGCTAGGTTTTCATTTGTTAATGACTTAAAAGTATATATGGGATATACGTGGATGAGACAGCAACAAAACAAAAATACAAGGAAAGGACATCTACAGGTCAACATAGGAGGTTTTATGCCCAACCTACGATAGTAGTAGGGCATTATGTTTTCTGGTCTGTGCGTCCGTTCGTTCATCCGTCTTTCCCGCTTCAGGTTAAAGTTTTTGGTCAATGTAGTTTTTGATGAAGTAGAAGTCTAATCAACTTGAAACTTAGTACACATGTTCCCTATGATATGATATTTCTAATTTTAATGCCAAATTAGAGTTTTGACCCAAATTTCACGGTTAACTGAACATAGAAAATGATAGTGCGAGTGGGGCATCCGTGTACTATGGACACATTCTTGTTTTGTTTTTTTGTTTTTGGAAAGGGGGAGGGGTCTTTATCTGTATCCATGAGAGTGACCCTATAAGTAAAACATATATGATGCTAAATGATTAGTTTCCTTTTAGTATATTATATTTTATAATGTATCATTGTACAAACGAATAAAAACTTTTCCTTTATTCTTCCCATTTGTCACAGCAACTTCAGAGTAGAAAGTGAATACACTTATTTGCACAAAAAATAATGTAATGCAATTATTAAATGAAATAAAAATGTCAATATTTGTCTCATGGGTGACTTTTCCATAAAAGAGAAGATACAAGGTGTTATTCAAAAATCATCAGTCCAAGTCGGGAATCATTTCCATGGTTGTCTTTGTTCATTGCATAATGGTCTTGTCAATTTAGAAATTTGTCTTGACGAAAGTAATCTGTTAACTTTCTTCACAACCTTTCTAGACTAAGGTAGACAACATGAAGACCTATAAATGTCTTTTGTGGTGGGTTTGTTTTTGTTACTGCACTGTTTGGTACTATGCTATTGACGTATACTCCTTATCCTTTTTTTACTCAAGGCGCGCTTTAACCAAAAAAGATAACAAGATATAAAAATTTTAAACTTTTAAAAGTTTCAGGTAATACGAGCTGATCTTTCTAATGTCATACTTATAACATATGACAAACTTTGCCTTAGTTTAATTGTCACAACACCATGAATACTGTGACCCAAATGATAAGGGAAATCTTTATCATAATTACAACGTACAGACCTTAATTTTACACAACAATCACTTTTCAACCACACTCAATGAATTTCTAGTAATATATATTTTGAATAGGATATTCAATAGATAGCATTCGATTGACGCAATTTTGGCAAGAGTTATACCCTGTTGGAGGTCATCATCATTGTTATCATCACCCCCCCCCCCCCCCCTAAAAAAACAACATACCCATTTGACTGTTGTCATCTACCAATATAATCTCTTGAAGTAAATGTCTAGGAGTTCTGTTTATTATGCTGTATAAAGTTCGAATTAAAATCGATGGCCATTCGTCATAAAATGGAATTATGATACTTGTTGTTGGGAGATCATGCGCGTAAGTCCTGTATTTACACCTGAAATTAGAGGAAATAAAATCCAAAACCTCATACAAATACTACTCATATAGTTTAAATCTTTTTTTTCAGTTTACCGATGACGATTGAGGCATCATAATTGATATGTCAACAAAAGATATGGAACAAAAACAGTCGAATTTGTAGATTGACACAAGGTTAGATTTCACTTATTTAAATATTTTTAAATAAATCATCGCTTGCTAGTATATGGCTTAATGTCATAATAGCACGATTATCCGTACTTCGAAAGACCAGGAGTTATGTATGTAGTATCTTCTGTTAGTTTGTTTAACTTTAAGCTACCATACAGATCAACGATTTAGCGTGATGTTCTATTGATTTCGTTATTTCGTTAACATTTTATTTTTAAAGCAATTTTCTTTCGTCTTTTATTTCAAAGAAAATAACATAATCTAAGATGTCTATGGTTCAAATCGGGAATGATAACCACTTCATGTGGGACGATATAGAAAAAATAAAAACTACAAAACTCAGTGAAAAACTTATCAAAGATACCAGCTTTATAGTTTTGTACGCCAGACGTGCGTTTAGTATACAAAAGTTAAAAAGCAGTGAATGCATTTCTAAAAGAGAAACACTCCAGTAAATTTCTAATGACGAACATAGTATAACCAACTACAAGTTCGGAAAGTTTTATTGAAACAAATTTAATTAACTTTTGAATTGGGCTATTTATTCAGAAATATTGCTTAATTACGTAATAAAAATTGTATTTTGATTAGGCTTTAACAAGTTTTTAAACATGCAGTATGACGTAATATTAGTAGTTTCCTAGCAGACATGGATCTTTTGACATGTTATTGACAGTTGACATGTTCAAAAGAGTGTCCTTTGCTGTAAACCTTCTACGTATCTATATCTGCTTTCCAAACTGACGTTCAATATCAAAAATACTTGACTGACGTACACGATATGCCTTTCGGCTTGTAACTTTATATTTTTATCGTTTATCAAGTGACGAATATGAATGAAAATAAATGTCATAACATATTTGGTTTTGGTTTTTACATGTTTTCAATCCGACTGTATACAAGTTTTGATTGAATTAGCAGGGCTAACAAACACAGAACCCAAAATGCACACATTTTTTAAAACCTCCCCTTGATCCCCCATCCTGCCTTCTCTTATTGTCATTAACAGAAGGCATGTTTCAACAAATTATGCAATGAGTTCCGATGTTAATTACAACCGATATTCAAACTATTCAGTTCATTTTAAAACACTAATTGCTAATTTTTCAACTATCAATAGAAGGTATTACGAAGCACGAGAAAAAAAAATTGTCCCCATTCATATGTCTCATCGAAGAGAAAGATCACCAAAACATGAATTCATGAAAATACAGACATTTTTTGTTCTCTTCAGTCTGGAAGTAACGGATTACGACAGGGTAATTTATTTGAATAATGGTGCCAATATATTTCTATCACACAGCACCTGATATCGTTACAACCTTAGTTTAATATGTAGATCTAACAGGTGTATATGTGTCTTTTGTTAATTTTTAGTAGACAGGTTTTGTCTTTTATTATTTTTTTTTTGGAAGTCTCTCTCTTCTTGTATTGTCGAATGTATTCTTAAAATTCTGCTAAAACAAATGCGCTGGTATTTTCTTATCTACTGATAAAATTTCAAGAAATCAACTTGCTTACAATAAGAGCACCACTAATTGTAGAGCTATCCTTACTTGTATTTGTTTTCAAAAGTCTACCGGATGTTAAGCAAGGTAACTGTCTAAGGATACTTTATGATGCAGAATGCTCTTATAGAGTATAATGTTACTAAGCAAACCAGAAGTTAAATATAGGCAACAGTAGTTTATCGATGTTAAAATCATATAATTCGAATACGAAGGCAAATCAAAATAACAAACTAAAAACGGAGGGGATCGCATAAACCCCAAATGGATATGCTAACCTTTTAAGTGCAAAAGTCTAAAGCTTGAATAGAATATAGAAAGAAGGAAACCAGAAACATATGAAATACATTATTACTGAGACTAATGTAATAACAGTAAAATGTAAGATGTTATTTTATAAATTTATAGTTCTTTGTCTTTCATTTTTTCTTACGTGTTTAGTCTATATAGTGTCTATATTCCATTTTGTTTTTTTCATTGTGACATACTTGTTTGTTTGTATAGTGATAAAGTTTATAACACAATGTTGACTGCTTTACCCCAATTTTTTACATTTTTAACCTATAATGTCATTTTGTTTTCTTCACACATTGTTGTCAATATAATAGAATTGTATGTGACTGTCATACAAGTGAGAGGTTTGAATAGCAAGGTTTAATCCACCATTTTCTGAAAATGCATGTATCAAGTCAAGAATATGACAGTTGTTTTCCTTTCGTTTGATGTGTTTGAGCTTTTGATGTTGCCATTTGATAAAGGACTTTCCGTTTTGAATTTTCGTTGGAGTTCGGTATTTTTGTTATTTAACCTTTGATAAATGATTTTGACTTGCATATATTTAGTCATCTTATCAACTTTCACTTGTCATATCGGAAATAATACAGTATAATTTCAGAATTTATCAATTCCCTATTTTCATGTTTATTTGCTTTTTAATTGTTTTCGTCTTTTCAAAACATCATAATTAATTTCTTTTTCAAATATTTATCAATAAAAAGGTCATCAACTGTGTGGGAAAGTTTCGTGCCAAAGATAAGGGACTATATGAACATTACACACCATATCAGCGAATATGATCCATGAAATGTAATACATTAAAGTTAAATATTCGTAACTGTTGACCTACATATAATAACATTAACTGGACAAGATGTGCAAACTTTTTAATTCGAGCGTCACTGATGAGTCTTTTGTGGGTAAAACTAGCATCTGGAGTACAAAATTTTAATCCTGGATTATATGATAAATTTGGTTTCAATTCCTTTTTCAATTAAAAGTATTAGTTAAACAAATTTTTGATTTTTTTACTGAATAGAGAATCTTAAAAACGATGTGATTTTATTTCAGATTTCATTTTTTTTTACTATTGACTTATATGATGACTAAATATTTTAAGTTGTACAATCATTACACTCTTCAATCATTCAGACATTTATAATGGTCATCATTCTTCAGTATATTTATCTTTACACAGATGCATCAACAAAGCTGTTGTATAAAACATTCAAATTTTTAAATGGGATGTTTAAGTCAATCTTGAAATTACAATGATCAAAACAGGTTTTAAAGTACCTTAAATTAGTTGGATGACTCTTATTTTAATCAGACAAAAACAAACAGATATTATATATCATATCATAATAGATAAAAGAGGAGAAATCCAATTAAGATATGATTTACAATTTTCATCAGCAAGCAAAATATCTCGAATTGAAATGGTCATCATTAACCATCAAAAGTTTCAATTTATCTTGTAAAATACATAATTTAAAGAGAGCTTCATTTTTTTAAATGCACATGCAGTTTAATATGGGTCCTTTCTGGTCGTATAGGTTCTCGCGTAATTACGCTTTCTATTTTTTTTTTCTATTCGTTTTCTTTTTTTTGTATTTTTTTTTAGGCTAGAGCGTTCATGAAAACTCAGGTAAACGAAGGGTAATATCGCAATCGAGGAAACGAAGATGGGATCATGTTCATGACGAGATGATCATATCAGTGAACATCTGTGACACAGATATTATATAGCGGTCAACTAACTAATGGTGGCGAATGTTTAATTTCCAAAGGGATGACTTCAATTATTCCATTTGGAACCCTCAAGGAAAAACTTTCTTGTGAGCGATAATTATTAAGAAAATCATGATAGGAAACATACGCCATGAAATTTCGTATCAGATGAGAGATATATACTCCTTTGGAATGTAAAGTAAAATATGTATAATCATTTATGGTATTTAATGATGCCCTATGCTAAGTAGATTATGATTACCCTTATAACTAAAAAACTTGACAATGTCAATTAAGACCCCGCTTGCACATTTTTGTGTAAGGCACATAAACTCATACTTAATCTGATACAAACAAAGCAATACACTTAATTACGTTTAAAAATTAAAATAACAAAAACACCGAATTCCAAGAAAAATTCAAAACGGAAAGTCCCTTTTCGGATGGCAAAATCAACAAAAGTGCACACGCTGAAATGTCTCGACTGTTTTACTTATCATCAAATTTATGTTGAATTTCTGTAATATGAAGGTTTTACTACAAGTATCACATACACTTAACATTGACCAATGAACCATTAAAATGAAGCTAAGGTCATATGAACCCTGCAAGACAGACATGTGCACCTCACAAGTATTCCATACACTAAATATAATTGACCTATTGCTTATAATATTTGCGAAATATACCAAACCACAAAAACTAAAAAATGTCCAATGAACCATGAAAATGAAGTCGAGGTCAGATGAGACCTGGCAAACAGACATGTACACATGACAATCATTCCATACACCAAATATGGTTGGCCTATTGCTTAAAGTATCTGAGAAATAGACAAAACCACAAAAACTAAACATTGTTCAATGAACCATGAAATTGAGGTCAAGGTCAGATAAAATCTGTCAGTCGGACATGTATACTTTACAATTATTCCATACACAAAATATAGTTGACCTACTGCTTATAGTATCTGAGAAATAGGTTAAACACAAAAACTAAACATTGTTCAATGAACCAAAAATGAGGTGAAGGTCATATGGACCCTGCAAGACAGACATGTACCCCTTACAATCATTCCATACACTAAATATAATTGACCTGTTGCTTAAAGTATCTGAGAAATAGACCAAACCACAAAAACTAATAAAACATTGTTCATGAACCATGAAATTGTGGTCAAGGTCAGATGAAATCTGTCAGTCGGACATGTACCCCTTACAACCATTCCATACACCAAATATAGTTGTCCTATTGCTTATAGTATCTGAGAAATAGTCCAAACCACAAAAACTAAACATTGTTCAATGAACCATGAAACTGAGGTCAAGGT